TCCGGTCGATCGATTCGGGTCCGGATGGGGTCCGGTCGATCGATGGGGGTCCGGATGGGGCCCGGTCGATCGAAATCGGATCCGGATGGGGCTGGATTCGGATGGGTCCGGTCGGTCGATTTGGGTCCGAATGGGGCCCGGTCGATCCATCCGGATCCGGATGGGGCTGGATTTGGATGGGTCCGGACGATCGGCCCGGGTCCGGATGGGGTCCGATCGATCGATTCGGATCCGGATGCGGTCGGATTCGGATGGGTTCGATCGATCGACCCGCATGGGTCCGGTCGATCGATTGGGGTCCGGATGGGGCCCGGTCCATCGATTCGGATCCGAATGGGGCTGGATTCGGATGGGTCCGGTCGATCGATTTGGGTCCGGATGGGGTCCGGTCGATCGATTCGGATCCGGATGGGGCCCGGTCGATCGAAATCGGATCCGGATGGGGCTGGATTCGGATGGGTCCGGTCGATCGATTCGGGTCCGAATGGGGCCCGGTCGATCGACCCGGATCCGGATGGGGCTGGATTCGGATGGGTCCGGACGATCGGCCCGGGTCCGGATGGGGTCCGGTCGATCGATTCGGTTCCGGATGGGGCTGGATTCGGATGGGTTCGACCCATCGATCCGGATGGGGTCGATCGATGGATCCGGATGGTTTCGTTGGTTCGATCCGGATGGGTTGGATCGATGGATCCGGATGGGTTCGGTCAGTCGACCCGGATGGGTTCGATGGTCGGATCCGGACGGGTTCGATCGATGGATCCGGATGGGTTCGATCGGGCGAACCCGATGGGCTTGCCCCTTGGGTGCTCGCCTTGCCTTGTACTGGGTTGTGCGGTGCCCTGGGGGAAAAAAAGGCATCCGATCCATCCGGTCATATCCGGATGCTCGTTGGCTCTAGGGTGGTGTGGTGCCTCGAAAGGGCTCGCACCCGCCCTAGAGCCCTTTTTGCCCGGTTGGAAATCGACTACACCGGAAGGGCTTGTGGGCTCTAGGGCGGTGCCGTGCCTCGAAAGGGCTCGCACCCGCCCTAGAGCCCTTTTTGCCCGGTTGGAAATCGACTACACCGGAAGGGCTTGTGGGCTCTAGGGCGGTGTCGTGCCTCGAAAGGGCTCACACCCGCCCTGGAGCCCTTTTTGCCCGGTTGGAAATCGACTACACCGGAAGGGCTTGTGGGCTCTAGGGCGGTGTCGTGCCTCGAAAGGGCTCCCACCCGCCCTGGAGCCCTTTTTGCCCGGTTGGAAATCGACTACACCGGAAGGGCTTGTGGGCTCTAGGGCGGTGTCGTGCCTCGAAAGGGCTCACACCCGCCCTAGAGCCCTTTTTGCCCGGTTGGAAATCGACTGCACCGGAAGGGCTTGTGGGCTCTAGGGCGGTGTCGTGCCTCGAAAGGGCTCACACCCGCCCTAGAGCCCTTTTTGCCCGGTTGGAAATCGACTGCACCGGAAGGGCTTGTGGGCTCTAGGGCGGTGTCGTGCCTCGAAAGGGCTCACACCCGCCCTGGAGCCCTTTTTTTCCCGGTTGGAAATCGACTACACCGGAAGGGCTTGTCGGCTCTAGGGTGTTGTCGTGCCTTGAAAGGGATCACACCCGCCCTGGAGCCCTTTTTGCCCGGTTGGAATTCGATTACACGGGAAGCCTGTGGGCACTAGGGTTGGATGAACCCATGGGCCGGTTCCGATCCGCCCTAGGGCAAAGAAACCAAGGGGGGGGCAGGGTCGGATGCATGGGCCGGTTCAAATCCGCCTGGGGTCAATGGACCGGGTGGGGGGGAGGGGGGATGGGCCCAAGGGTTGGATGAGCCCATGGGCCGGTTCAAATCCGCCCTTGGGGTCAAATGAACCGGCTGGGGGGGTCAGAATGGCCGAGCGGGGATGGGCTCTTGAATTGGATGAACCCATGGGCCGGTTCAAATCCGCCCTTGGGGTCGAATGAACCGGCTGGGGGGTCGAATTACAGAGGGGGAATGGGCTCTTGGGTCGGATGAAACCATGGGCCGGTTCAAATCCGCCCTTGGGGTCAAATGAACCGGCGGGGGGGTCAAATAACCGAGGGGGGATGGGAT